GTATTTATGTATGTATATTGGCATGTATATATTTATTTATTTTGGTACTGGGGATTGAACCCAGAGGCACTTTATCACTGAGCCACATCCCATCCCTTTTTATTTTGAGTTAGGATCTCACTAAGTTTCTTAGGGCCTTTTTCAATTACTGAGGCTGGCCTTGAACTTGCATTCATCTTGCCTCATCCTCCGAGTTGTGGGATTACAGATGTGCACCACTGTATCTGGCATCTTTTTAAATATCCAAATATCTGAAAATTAGGGTAAAACATACAATTTATCAGGTTATTTATTTATTTATTTTTTGGTGGTGTAGGGATTTGAACCCAGGGCCTCACACATGCTAGGTTAAGTGTTCTACACTGAGCCTTATCCCTGGCCCTTCACTTCACTCCTTTACTTCATAACTTATATGTCGTTATGTTTATATAGTGAGGCTTTTTTTTTGGGGTGGTGGTGGTGGTACTGGGAATCAAACTGAGGGTGTACTGTGCTCTATCACTAAGCTATATATCCCAGCCCAGCCTGCATCTTTTTATTTCTTTCCTTTTTTTGAGAGTCTTACTGTTGCCTTTGGTCTTGAACTCCCGGGCTCAAGTGATCCTCTAGCCTTAGCCTCCCAAGTAGTGGCTTACAAACATGTGGCACTGAGTATGGCTGGGGGTCTTGTCCTTGACTGCACCCCATACTGGATTGCACACAGAGACTCTCTACCACTCAGCCACCCTCAGGCTCTTTTATTTTCTTTTTGAGACAGGGTCTCACTAAGTTCCCAGGCTAGCCTGAGACTTGTGATCCTTCTGTCTCTACTTCCTGACTAGCTGAGAATACAAATGTGAGCCACTGCACTTGGCTTCTATTACTGTTTTGAACTTGTTTGTTAGATCAATTGAGAATAATGAAAAAAAAAAAAAAGTATTTGACATTCATTTATTCCTTTTCCAATAATCTTCTTTCCTCTATGTAGACCCAAATTTCAGACCCGTATCATTTTCTTCTATTTCTTTTTTTCCTGCAGTGCTGGGGATCAAATCCAGAGTCTTGTGCATGCTAGGCAAGTGTTCTATCACTAAGCCATACACAGTCTTTCCTTCTCTCTAAAGAACTCCTTTTAGCTTTTTTTGTAAGGCAGGTCTGCTGGCACCAAATTCCTTTAGTTTTTGTTTCTCTAAGAAAGTACTTTTCCTTCAGATTTGAAGGATGATACCATAGTACAGAATTCTAGGTTGATAGACTTTAAATACTTCACTTTTTTTTCCTTTTTTGGTCGTGCTGGGGATTGAACCCAGGGCCCTGTGCATGCAAGATAAGCACTCTACCAACTAAGTTATATCCCCGGCCCAATATTTCACTTATATACCTTACCTTAGTTTCTTGCTAAAGTGGAATGGAAGTACCTTCTTCCTATTTAATGTTTCACTGGGATATTTCTGTTTTTGGTTCACAGTTTGTTTCTATAGCAAGACTATAACTCTTTAAAGACAGAAGTATAATTCATACATATTTTATATTTCCAGGTACCCATCAGAGGATAAGTATATAAAAGCTACTCATTGAATGAACAGTTATACCTCAATGCTTAAAATTTCTTTCCATATTTAACAAAGTCAAAAAATAGAATACCTTGTTCAAAAGCTCTGCTCACGCTGTCAGTACATTCTTTCTGTTTAGCTGAAAGAGAAACCATTATCTTAGTTTTTCTATTTAAATAGACTCATAATACCACTTTGTAATCATCTAGCTGTAAAGGCAGGAAGCTTAGATTCAAGATTATAGTTTCATAACCTTTGTTTCTGAATATACCTCAATGGTGGCTGCAGTTTCATGCAGCACCAGGCCAGGCGGCTGAGGGAGGTGGATCACAAGTTTGAGGCCAACCTCAGCAGCTTAATGAGACCCTGTTTCAAAATAAAAAATAAAAAAGGCTATGGGTTTAATTCAGTGGTAGAGCACCCCTGGGTTGAATCCAAGTACTACCTCCAAAAATAAACACATAAAAAGAAAAAATAAAAAGAAGCAACACTGGCTGAACCTCATTTCACAGTTTTTTTTTTTTGTATCAGGGATTGAACCCAAGAACGCTCAATCACTGAGCGACATCCCAAGCCATCCCCAGCCCTTTTTATATTTATTTTGAGATAAAATCTTGCTAAGTTGCTGAGGCTGGCTTTGAACTTGTGATCCTCCTGCCT